CAATAGTGTAATTTTCACATTTGTTTTTAGCTCATTATTTCAAATAATGTTAAATGTTAATAGTGTAATAACCAAACATTGAAAATATGTAGTACATATGAGAAAGGACCTTAGAAATCATCTTATCCAATTTCCAATGCCGTATTCCCTTCTACACCGTTCCTGACAAATAGTCCAGTCTGCTGAGCCATTCAGCTCACTGTTGTATAGGACAACCTTTGCAATATTGAATGGTTCCTATTTCTAGTTTTTCTTAATCTTGAGATAAATCCACATCTTTATGATTCAAACACATTGATTGTATGTTCTTCTTTCTATACACCAAACCTTCAAACTTTTGAAGATTGTTAATTGTATTGGCTAATTGTTAGGCTAAACATACCAAGTTTTCATTTCATCATGTGGCATGCTGGATACCCTTATGAATGTTCTTTATCTTTTTTAGCATTTCCTCTCAGTGTGACATCTAGAGTAGGATACTACTGGATGATATGGTTACATAGTCTTCACTTGCATTGTATACTAGTTGAGACTTGGGTGTATATGTTTGTACGCTGTGTATAGTATATATAGGCTTAAATACTGCAGTAATTTTAGGTGTAGTATTTCAGTTAATTAAGATTTGTTTTGCAATTAGAATGACAGAAGTGAATGGTTTTTCTCTTCTTGACCCAATCTCATATATGACTAACTGAAGTTGTCATGTGTTCTCAAGGATAATTTAAATGAATGTGAGGTTTATGAAAATCTGACAGATCCTAACTGTAACTCAGCTAGTGGGCAACGTTATAATTTATTTATAGCTATGTAATATTGTTATTAATGAACTAATGTAGAATGAGGGCAACTATACTCTATTTTTGTGTGAAATTATACTACATGACAAAGGTTGGCATTATGTAGTAAGTATGCGCAAAATATTAAGCTACTTGCAATAAATACAATTAATAATGTACATAAAAGAATGAAATTAAGCTAATTTTCTATCAAAAAAGAATTATTCATGAACAGAAAGTGGACAGCATAGATTTGATGACAGGAAGGTTGTATCTAATCTGAATTACTGAGTGACCTAGGAAGCTTGCTCAGAGGGATCACAGAATAATTATGTTAATATGCAATTATCACCTCATTTCTTCTGTAGTAACCTCAAGATGTAGTGTAGTGAGGGTGTTATAGCAAGTGCTGATAGTTTGCAAAAATACTGATGTTTGAGATTTCTGAGACAATAAGTCTAGCTTGAGGCACATAAGTGATGATCTGTCATCTTGAAGACAGATCTGACCTTTGTACTTTTTTTTAATGCTCGCAGTATATAACTACAGGCAGTTATAGCTGTAGAACTCATTATGATTTTCCAGAAACTGAAATATGTTTTATGTAGATTTAAAATTCCACTTGCAGCTTTTTACAAAGTGTGTGAATTTTTTTAAAGAACATTTTAAAATTCAGTTAAAAGAAAAAGTCTATGGTTATATGATTACATGGAGGAGGACCTAGTAATACTGTCTAAACATTTAAAAAAAAAATCCTAATTGATATAGCAAATTCATTGAAATTTAGGGAGTCCAAACAATATTAGTTTATTTTAATTTATTAGTTTCCCTTTTTTTAAACTTAATGAATAATGCCTACCTTCAAATATGTCCCCTACTTAGTTATATTAACATAACCTGGTGTTGATGGCTGTGTTATATATATTTGATTATATAAAGATAGTTGGAAAAACTATTTGAGACAGTGTGAAATTAGCTTATAGGTCAAATGCTTTCTTGCCTGGATGCCACATAACCGTCTGTGAATGTAGATAAATAATTTTTGGTGTCAGAAATCTAGATCTATTATTTAGTGCAACCGATTTTGATGATCTGTTGTTCTGCATTGTATTTCAATGCAACGGCTGTGAGCCTTGAATACTATTAAGAAAAAAATATATTTTGAGCATTTTTCAGTTAAAATATATTCTGAAAATTAAACCAGGAAAATTTTTCATTGCTTCTAAAATACTAGCTTTCTGAGTCAATTTCTTATAGTATATTTTTTAACTGATGGAGTAGGCTTTTAATATTAATGTGCTAGTAAGAAAAAAATATTCTGAAAAAGAATAACTTCTCTGTGTAAGTAGAGATAATCATTAATTTGGGAGCAAGTAAGGCATATTTCATTATGTAGGTATGAAGGAAAACTGATTGTTAAAGACTTCCGTTTTATTTTTTAACAATATTTTATTTGAACCTCTGTATTTATTTTTCCTAGGTATGTTTTATAGATAAAAGATCTGTCATACACATATGTTCTTGCTATGTTTTAGAGCAAAACAGTTTGGTAGCTTCAGAATGTGAACTGATGGAAGGTTCTTATAAAGCCATTCTGGTAATGAGGATGCAGTCTCCAAGCCTACATGATATTCTCATAGTTTGTCACCCTGCTGTTCAGGGGGTACCACTGAAGTTGCTTTAAATGGGAAGCGTCTGTTCCATCTCTGAACCTCTAACACCAGAACAGATGGGTGGAACATGGAACATGGAAGGTTTTACCTCTGAGGTGGTAACAGTGAAGCCACTCATTAACACTGAATTTACCACTTCGTTAGCAATGTTGCTTCCTGTTGAGAAAAGCTAATATAGGCTTTTAAATTGACTGAGCATATATTTGTCTACCTCTGTGATTATATTAAGTGGGAACAGAAAGTAAGTGTCTTTCAGGCTAGTTTTTTAAAAATTCTATCCGTTTCAGATTTATGAGATTGTTCCTATTTGGGCATTTTACTTTTTCTACCTAATTTAATGAGAAATATCAGGAATGGGTACTAGTATAGCATCAAGGTTTGCTTTTCTTTTTATTGACATTTGCACACTCTTTCTTAACACATGTTTATGTGCTGCCCATTTTTAACTTCTGTGTATGTGATGTAGAGACTCCTGCTGGGTGCTGCATTAGCACCATTTTGGGGTGATATCATTGAATATGATCTTATTGGAAGTCTATTTTTATTACTGTGAAAGTTTGCTAATCTCAAAACAGAATTCTAAGACCCATGAAGGATGGAAAAATGATTGTTGGTATAAATAATAGTGCCAAAAAAGATATTTGTAATGTTTGTTGTATTAAAGAACACATCTTGTGGAAAGAATAAGGTTATATTTATAAGTGCCTGTTCTAAGTTGTGAAATAAGAAAGTAATTAGAAGCAATTCTTTTCTTGAGCTAGATTTAATGTTTTACAAAGCATGTAATTGGTACCATAAAAGACACTAGAAATAATGAGCTTTATTGAAAATGTTTTAATTTCTAAATATCGGATTGTTAGTTCCTGCTGTCCTAAAATAGTATTACTATTATAGTATTTGTTATGCAAATTAAAAATACTATAAAAGAAAAATAGAAGACGTTATTCTCTACCTGAGAGCAAGAAGCTAGTCTGTCTTGTTTACTACTGTATCTCTAATACTAGAGCTGTGCCTGGCATATAGTAAGAGCTCAATAAATATTTGGAGAATGAATAAACTGTACTTACTACCATGTATACAAGGAAAAGAAATATGGAATTTTATGCCAGTACTTCAAATAGTTAATACCTGAGGTTGCTAAATAGCAGGTTTTATAAATTTATACTTGAGGATTATTGGATATTTTGAAGCTTTCTACAATTGCTGAGTCAAATCAGAACCATGATGGAATTTGCACTGTTTGAATGGGCTATCAAAATTTCATAGGTAGGAAACTATTTTTCTTCTTATTCTTGAGGAACTTTAGCTTTGATTTTGCAATTGTGTTTTTATTCATTCAACACTTTAGTTCTTTATTCAACGAATATTCCCTGAGCACCTATGCCAAGCATTGTGCTAGATTCTAGAGATACGAAGGTGACTGGGTCATAGTCCCTGGCCTCAAAGAGCTTACATTCTTCCAAGGAGGCAGGCAGTTCCTCTGTAATGTAACCATTTCTAAGAGCAGGATAAGAACAGGGTGCAAAGGAGCTCTTCATAGTAAGGGCAGTAATATAGCCATGGTATGTATGTCTCCCAACTTTCAGAAGTCTCCTTTCCTTTTAAAATATTCTCTTGTCTTTTCATAATAATTAAATATATTATCAAAAATGCCTAGAAAAATTTTATCTACATTTTATATGAAGTAAACTAAAAACTTAACATATATTCATGATGTTTCAGAGTAAAAATTTTTAGGTCATTGCAGACTGTCATATGATAAATGGGATAACTGCCTTTAGGAATGCCTAGAATTTGGGGGCCTAGATTATGAAAATTTAAAGTAACATAAAACTTCATTTATTTTGACTTTACTAATTTAGCACTAATGATAATTTACATACGAAATGAATGAAATGCTGTGAATAAAACATTTTTTAAACTGGTAGAATTTTAGGAGAATGTGAAACATTGAGAGCAAAGCAGTCATCATTTTTTTTTTTTTTAATAAAGAGTACTGTTTCATACATTAGCCGTTGATGTTGATAGCAAATATGTTCATTCAAGTGAAGTTCTTTACTGAGTGGTGTTTTGTTACCTTCTTCCAGGAAGGAACTTTTAAATGACAAAAGTTACTTCTCTGCACTGTTAAACAATTTACATTATTCTCTAGTATAAAGTGATTGTCCCTAATAAACCTACTTAAGTGAGATAATTTTCTTTTTATTAGCAACTTATATATGAGATTTTAAAGTTTTTTTTTCAGCCTGTAGCCTATTCATTTATCTCGTGTGTGTCTGTGTGTGTGTGTATGTTGCTTTTCCCTAGACATTTTGTGTATATGCAGTTTGGGGTTGTTGTTGTTGCCTAGCACAAAGAAAAAATTAATCTTTGAGACACTTTTAAAGTCTTTCACTTTTTTAAAGTGTTTCTTCATTCTTGGAAAATTATTAGAATCTCAATATAAAGAGTAGAATTAAGCCAATAAAAATGTGTACTTTCAACTCTCCATGCATTCTAATAGTATTTTTTCTTTCATGCAAATCTAAAATTTTTTTTTTCCGTTTTCTAGACTAAATGTGTTAAATGGGCTTGCCAACAATATGGATGATTTGAAGATAAACACCGATATTACTGGTGCTAAAGAAGAACTCCGAGATGACAACAATTTTATCTCAGACAAAGAGAGTGGAGTTCATAAACCAAAAGATTGTCAAACATCATTTCAGAAAAATCATATGTTCACTCTGCCTGAAGAGCTGTCAAAGGACAAATCTGAAAAAGCCTTAAGTGGAGGCCAGTCTACTCTATTTATACATGCTGGTGCTCCTACTGTTTCCAGTGAAAACTTTATCTTGCCTAAAGGAGCTGCTGTTAATGGACCAGTTTCACACTCCTCCTTAACTAAGACTTCCAATATGAATAAAGGCAGTGTTTCATTAACCACTGGACAGCCTGTGGATCAGCCAACAACAGAATCTTGTTCAACTTTGAAGGTGGCAGCTGATCTTCAGCTATCTACACCACAGAAAGCAAGTCAAAGTCAACACCAAGTTTTATTTTTGTTATCAGATGTAGCACATGCTAAGAATCCAACCCATTCCATTAAAAAACTACCTACCTCTGCTTCAGTTGGTTGTGACATTCAAAATTCAGTAGGGAACAGTATGAAGTCAGATAGCACTTTAAAAAATCAAGTAGAGGTGGGTGAGGATAGTGAAGATTTATTGGTAAAAGATGATTGTGTCAATACATTAACAGGAATTTCCTCAGGTACAGATAAATTTAGATCAGAAAATGATACAAACTGGGATCCCCAAAAAGAGTTTATTCAGTTTCTTATGACTAATGAAGACACAGTGGATAAAACTCCAGTTCACTCTAAAGTAGGTCTAGAAAAAAAGAGAAAGCGAAAAATGGATGTGAGCAAGATAACTCGTTATACTGAGGATTGCTTTAGTGATTCTAATTGTATACCCAATAAGTCAAAAATGCTAGAAGTAGACTTTCTGGAACAGAATGAAGAACTACAAGCAATAGACTCACAGAAATATGCATTATCAAAAGTGAAGCCTGAATCAACTGATGAAGACTTGGAATCTGTGGATGCTTTTCAACATCTAATTTATAACCCAGATAAGTGTGGAGAAGACAGTTCACCTGTTCATACTAGCACTTTTCTTTCAAATACCTTAAAAAAGAAATGTGAAGAAAGTGATTCCGAGTCACCTGCTACTTTCAGCACCGAAGAGCCATCATTCTACCCCTGTACAAAGTGCAATGTGAATTTTAGGGAGAAAAAGCACCTCCACAGGCATATGATGTATCATTTAGATGGGAATAGTCACTTTCGCCATCTTAATGTCCCAAGGCCATATGCTTGTAGAGAATGTGGACGGACATTTCGAGACCGTAACTCACTTCTAAAGCATATGATTATCCACCAAGAAAGAAGACAGAAGTTGATGGAGGAAATTCGTGAATTGAAAGAACTTCAGGATGAAGGAAGAAGTGCACGATTACAGTGTCCTCAGTGTGTGTTTGGTACCAATTGCCCTAAAACATTTGTGCAGCATGCTAAAACCCATGAAAAAGATAAAAGGTACTACTGCTGTGAAGAGTGTAACTTCATGGCAGTGACAGAAAATGAATTGGAATGCCATCGAGGCATTGCCCATGGAGCAGTGGTAAAATGCCCTATTGTCAGTTCTGATGTAGCCCAGAGAAAAACGCAAAAAAAGACTTTCATGAAAGACTCTGTTATAGGATCGTCCAAAAAATCAGCTACCTACATATGTAAGATGTGTCCTTTTACTACTTCAGCCAGAAGTATTTTAAAAAAACACATGGAGTACTTGCATTCATCATCATGCGTTGATTCATTTGGTAGCCCTCTTGGACTTGATAAAAGAAAAAGTGACATCCTTGAAGAATCTGTAGATATGGATAGCACTAAACCATTAATTAAACAACAGTCAACCACATTTCCAAAGAACTCTGCTTTAAAACAAGATGTAAAGCGAACATTTGGATCATCTTCGCAACCAAGTAATTTTTCAAAATTCCATAAGCGGCCACACAGAATACAAAAAGCTCGGAAAAGCATTGCCCAGTCAGGTATAAACATGTGCAATCAAAACAATTCTCCTCACAAGACTGTTGTGATTAAAAGCAGCATTGACCAAAAACCTAAGTATTTCCATCAAGCAGCAAAAGAAAAATCAAATGCCAAGGCAAATAGCAACTATTTATATAGACACAAATATGAAAACTACAGGATGATCAAAAAATCAGGTGAATCGTATCCTCTGCATTTCAAAAAAGAAGAGAGTAGTTCATTAAATTCTTTACATCTGTTTTCATCATCAAGTAATTCTCACAACAGTAGTTTTATTTCAGACCCTCATAACTCTGACACCAAAAGGCCAGAAAGCTTCAAAGACCACAGACGTGTAGCTGTAAAGAGAGTAGTTAAGGAATCTAAGAAGGGAAGTTCTGTTGGAGGAGAAGAGTTGGATAGCTATCCAGATTTCTTGCATAAAATGACTGTTGTTGTTTTACAGAAACTTAATTCTGCTGAAAAGAAAGATAGCTATGAAACAGAAGATGAAAGTTCCTGGGATAATGTTGAGCTAGGTGACTATACTACACAGGCTATAGAAGATGAAACCTATAATGATATTAATCAAGAACATGTAAACTTATTCCCTCTGTTTAAAAGCAGGATAGAAGGCCAAGATCCTGGGGAAAGTGCTACCCTAGGTTATGATCAAAACGATGGCTTTTATTTTGAATATTATGAAGATGCTGGAACTAATAACTTTTTACATGAGATACATGATCCTCAGCGTTTAGAAAATGCGGAAACTTCATTGTCAAAACATAGTTCTGTTTTTCATTGGACTGATTTGTCTCTTGAGAAGAAATCATGTCCTTACTGCCCAGCAACATTTGAAACAGGGGTTGGGTTGTCAAACCATGTCCGGGGACATCTTCACAGAGCAGGATTAAGCTATGAAGCCCGTCATGTTGTATCGCCAGAACAAATAGCCACAAGTGACAAAATGCAGCATTTCAAAAGAACTGGCGCAGGGACACCTGTTAAACGAGTTAGAAAAGGTAAGTTTTTATGTAGATAATTTGAGCTAATATGTCTGTATTCAAATTCAAAAGATTTGAAGGTTTTGCTCAAATTTGGTCTTTAATAGAATCACATAACTTCATATTTCAGAGTTAATTGGCTTTAAGATGGTCAATTTATAAAAAATTCTTATGTTACTCTTAAAAAATTTTTTTTAGCTATAGAGAAGTCTGAAACCACTTCTGAACATACTTGTCAGCTCTGTGGTGGTTGGTTTGATACTAAAATTGGATTATCAAATCATGTTAGAGGCCACCTGAAAAGACTTGGAAAGACCAAATGGGATGCTCACAAATCTCCAATCTGTGTTCTGAATGAGATGATGCAAAATGAAGAAAAATATGAAAAAATCTTAAAGGCATTGAACAGTCGACGTATTATTCCCAGACCATTTGTAGCTCAAAAACTTGCATCAAGTGATGACTTTCTATCTCAAAATGTTATACCTCTTGAAGCATACCGTAATGGCCTAAAGACTGAAGCTTTATCAGTGTCTGCGTCAGAGGAAGAAGGGCTGAGTTTCTTAAATGAATATGATGAAACAAAACCAGAACTGCCCAGTGGAAAAAAGAATCAGTCTCTTACACTGATAGAACTGCTTAAAAATAAAAGGATGGGAGAAGAAAGGAATTCTGCTATTTCTCCTCAAAAGATTCATAATCAAACTGCAAGAAAGAGATTTGTTCAGAAATGTGTTCTTCCATTAAATGAAGATAGTCCGTTGATGTATCAACCACAAAAAATGGACTTGACTATGCACTCAGGTAAGAAGACATTTATGACTATCTTGTATAATTTAAACACAATTTAATTATGCTTACTTTAATGGCATATTTTTAGAAAATACTTTCTTAGGATCTTTTTATTTAAGCTGCTCTTTTTGCAGAGCAGAGATTGGTTATACTGTCATTTCTATATAAATCATCAGTTGATGATCATCAGCACTCTGAATTCTCTGTGCCTCACTTCTTGGTCACAAAAGCAAAAACAAACAAATAAAAAGCTGATCTGTAAAAATAAAATTTGCTGTGGCTGGGGGATGGTTCTATGGATGGGAGGATGATGTTGTTCAGAAGCACAGCATTACCGAAAAGGCAAACATCTGTCCTATTTTTGCCAGTGCTCCAGAGTGATAATGTTTTCAAGATTTAGCTCTTGGTTTTCCTACCACTTAGGTAAAACAAAACAAAACAGGCTCTTTAAACTGAAGGGATTGGTGTCTGTTGTGTTGTGATTAACCTAAAGAAACTTCATCCTCTCCAATTCCTCATTGTATTGTGGGGTAGTTTGGTTTTGGAGAACTGTTGTGAGTATAAAACATTTGTTTGGGGTTTTAGATTTTTACAATAGGGTTCTAATGGAACAGAACAGATGGCTTAGCTTACTGCTTGTGCACCAGTAGTTTTTCCTTTTCAAAGGAGTATTTTGTGTGTGTTGGCAAATGATGTGGCACATAAAGTAGCTAAACTATTTGGTACTGCTAAATCTGGTTTATACTTTTAGACTAGAAAAAATTTTTTGTCTTTATAGGGTTTCTTTGGAGGTTGACTGTTGAAGGTTAACTTAGATGGTCTCATAATGTTAGCCCTGAGTTGAATGTGTCTAAGGGAAAAGTATTTGGTCAATGGATTAATAGTGAATAAAGTTACTGTAATGTTGGTTTGTTTACTTTGGGCAGACATTTGGGATATCCTAGATATTTGTAATGCGGTTTCGATTTAAGGAAAGATTATCTTTTATTGTAAGTGGTCTGAAAAACAATTTATCTTGTATGGGCTTCTGGTTAATAGGGCTCTTTCTTTTCATATGAAGAGAGTCTTTCCAATTCAGTTTTCGACATTGTTCAGGATAGAATGTAAGGAAGGTGTGTTAGCTGTGTTGACGAAGGTGTGGTACACTTCAGAGGGAAGGTGTATTTGTGGCTGTCACAATAATGTTGAAGAAACCAATTGAAACATGTTGGGGGAGTGAGGGTTGCCTGAGAAGTTAGGATTTTCTTATTGTTTCAACATGTTTTCTTCCCTGTGATGACTAAGATGTTAACTTGTTGATCATTTATTTAGCACAAAGATTTTAGCAAAAAACTTCAAATCATTAACTTTCATTATTGATTGCGCATTCAGAGTAATGAACGTAAAAGGCCCTGAATAAAATGTTGTGTCTAACAGCTGTTCAGTGGTGTGTTTTACCACCTTTTCTCCCAGCCTTCATCAGAAAGCCTAATTTAGTATCGAGCCTTTTACGGTTTTGTGGGTAAAACACTTTAATTACCACTTTGTCGACTAGACTTTTTAATTCTTTTTATTGGTAATGTTGTAAGCTTTGAAACTTCTCAACAGAACTGTGCTATTCGAATCACAGGATTGTATTTTAGGTTTAGGGAAATGATCTGCGTAACACAGAAATCTGCAAGAAAGTGATAATAGGTGTTAAATCTACAGCAGCTCAGAGGTGAAAGACACTCCTCTTCCACCTTTCCAAAGAGCATGGGTTGGCTCTAAATACTAACTACAAACTAATAATAGTTAACTTATTCCCCCTCCTTATTTTAAGTTAAGTTAATTCAATGAACGTTTTTTAAGCCATCTTTATTGTGGTACTTTTCTTCACGCTTTTAGCTAAGAAAATTTCACTTTTTGAAGTGAGAACTGGATTATAGTTTTCTTTTGAATGATAGGTATGCCTGTGAAGCTTAGAACATGTGTGCATTGCAATACGACGTTTACAAGTGCTGTTAGCCTGTCCAACCACTTACGCGCTTATGCACGAAAGAAGAGTGCTGGACTTTTGACTGGTACAGGTATGTTTGAACAGATAACACAGCAAGTCTGTTTGATACAATACACTTTTTTTCTCACCAGACTGGTGCTAATTCAGATGATATTTATAGCTTTCTTTGGTAAGCAGCATTTGAGTCTGAATACACATTAAATTTCAGCAACTTGTAAACTTAGTGTAATTTTAAGCAAGTTATTTTTTTTCATTTGGCTCTTATTGACTTGATTTGGGGAAAAAATAACCCAATAGAGGTGTGGAACTTTTGAGTCTACATTATTCCCATTGATTTTTAAATTGTACTATTTTTCCTTTTTAAATTTATTTTTGTTAGTAGATTCCAGTAAGACACCTCTCTTTGGTAAAAAAATTATAGTTCTAGCTTGGGGAAATGCTTTATTGGACAGGATATTATTGTGAAATTTTGAATATGAAGCTTGATTAGAAAACTAAGCAAACTAATGAGTTTTCATTAGTCTAAAGATCAGATCTTTGAAAGGGGCAAGCCTTAATAATGGCTCATGTTGACAACTGAATAGATTTTTCTTTTAATGCCCCCAAACTATATTTAGGATTAATAAATACAGTTATGCACATAAATGTTTGACATGCACATTTCTGTGTTATTTTTGGTGGGTTAGCCCAACCTTGCAGATACCTCTTCATGCTGCTAGTCTGTGAAAATTTTATTAGCTTACTCATATGTAATACTGCTTATCCTACAAAATGCCTCACTCTTTTTGTAGCCTTTCAACCTACCCTGCTTTAGCAAATCCCATTTCTCTCACATCTTAAAATATACCCTCTTTTCTAAATCTACATAAATCCTTTTGGCTAAAATTTTCCTTCTAGTCTTTTTATTTCTCTTGCTCTTTTAGATCACTGCCTTCTGCTTTCTTCTAATTGTTGTTTTCCGGAATTTTTTGTTCTTCCTCATGTCTTCCTATGGCTTACATCTAATATGTTCTTGCTATCAAAAAAACCCTTGTATTTATACTAATATCTTTCTTTCTTGTGCTTCCTTGCTTTATCCTTTGACTTGATATACAAATAACCAGGGATGACTGCTGACCAGTTACATTAAAAGGAGGGGAATAGAGTGAGTTCTACTGTACTGGATTAGTCCTCCTACCATGAGGTTTTAGTTTTTGTGCTATTACTCCCACCTTCATCAAGCTTGGAAGGTGATTGCAGACATTAGAGGCAGGGAGGCAGTGAACATAAGAGATTGCAGAAACAGAAAACCCTTGTTATTGTTATCATAGCCACTAACTTTTATTGAACACTTACTAAGTGTCAGGCACTATGCTGTGCAGCTTTACACACGTAACATTTAATTTTCACCACCACCATATGTGTTGTAGGTACTATAATTCTCTCAGTTTTATAGGAAACTAGGGCTTAGAGAACTTAAGCAAGTTGCCCAAATTTATGTAATTATTAATGATAGCAAAGTTGAAATTCAAATCAAGGCTGTTTTACCCTACACCTTTGTTATTAATCACTTATCTACCACATACAGAATGAAAGCAATTGAAAATCCTAAAATGAAGTTGGGTTTAAGGTGAGGAGCATTCTGGTGAAGACTGAATGAATACGAGTCTAATTAGAAAGAGCAGGGACCCAAGATATGGTTAGGCCTGGATTAGATTTCAGGGGACTTTAGAAAATGTTCCATTCTGACATTTCAGGCAGATTATACAAATATTCAATGAGGTGGATCTCTCCAGTACAGATTTTGCAGTCCATTAAAAAATGCTTTTTAACCTCATCTGAAAATCCTTCAAAACACAGCATTAGTTGTTTTAAATAGCTGATAGTAACCATCCATTGACCAAGGATGCATTCTAATGAACACTTTATTATCTAAAAAATTTCATTATTAGAGAAAAATGTAGTATAGGATGAATGGGGATACATTTCTTTGGGTATCAAGAAATAAAGATATTATTTAAAAAATATCATTAAATACTAATCAAAATGTCAGAAGTGTTAGAAAATATGAAGTGTGTGTTTGGCAGGTCTAAGGCAAAAAGAAGGGAAATGAAAAGCTGAAGAAAGTCTAGGGTGGTATTTTTCCGTAGGCCATACCCACTTTTAAAAAAAATAAAAAACTCATGCTCCGTTTTCTTGGAAATTCTGAAACTTTTCCCTGATTTTTAAAATCTTCTTGACCAGTGGAGCTACACAGAAGATGTCTCTACTGCTTATTCATGGCAACTAAGAAGTTTTTTTTATCAGCTTTATTAATGTTTTTTGTTTTCCAAATAAGAATTCTATATTATATTTATAAACTCTACATGCCTGTTCTCTTCTCCCATATCAGTTTCTAGTATAAAGCAATGGTCCCAACCTATGGTCCTGGAGAGTTCCGCTGGGTTATTGTAAGGGTTTCATCAATTCATATGAGTAAAAAGTGGTTTTTTTGAATATGTAGATGCTGTTTTGATGAAAAAAATACAAAATCGTTTTCAAAAAACCTTACCTTAGTCCAAATGTATCACAAAACCTTAGTCCAAATGTATCACAAAACTGGAACAATGTAAAGGGAAAATAGGTAGGACTAAAGCCTCCACAAGAATGTCTAGTTTTTCTGTTCCTAGTTCAGGCAGTCCTCCTTCATGTGGATTTTTAATTATGTGGCCTACTCTTGAAGAAAAGGCTTAGGTATCCCTAGAATAAATGCTGAAGGCCTGCCTGGTTACCTGTGATGGAATAACTTCTAAGCCTTGTTAGAAGTCACCAGTGATGGAATAACTTCTAAGCCTTCTTAGAAACCACCAGCTGCCGGCCTCTTCTGTGGGAACTGGTGGCCTTTTGAAGGGGAGCGAGATTTTCGCTAGCCTGAATAGACTGAAAAGGATGCCCCTCTACTTCCCCAAATAGTTATTTACTGATGACTCAAAAGTTCTAACATGATGGTTCTTAATCTTGTTTGGGTCATTAACCCCTTTGAGAATTTTATGAAAGCTATAGGCTCCATCCCAGA